TGGACAAGTCCGTCTCTATCCCTGTATCCTCATCTCTGAAAAGCACAGGCTCTCTGGTTCTTTTGGTTTCTTTCACTTATTTGTTCAATGCATATATTTATGTATTTATCTAATTATCTAATTAATTGCAAACCTAAGTATAGGGGAGGTATTGATAATCAATGACCAAAATATAGCATGACCAGCCCATCACAATCCAGGAAAGTGCATTAGGCATTGATTGCTCTTAATTCCTAAGAGGACAATATTCCAACATCTTTTTTTTTTTTTTTTTTTTTGAAGGACACACATATTACTTTTCTCTCAAGGAAAAAGTATGATAGGTGTTATTTGCAGATGTCTTTCAAAGAAATTAAATATATTCAGCTATTCCTTGTAAGATGCTTGCTTGGTTTGGAATTTATCTATTTGTATCCTCTCCTCAGCTTCACCCTTATCCCTTACCCAGTCCATCCCATTCTCTTTCCTCACTACAGTTTCCCATATATCAATTCTCATTCATTATTCCTGGACTGTTTCACAGTTTAAGGCGCTTGCATGATGCAAAGATTATCGTCAAGGTGCTTCTACACGATCAAACTGGAGAAAGACACTCGTAAAATAAGAAAAGACAAAAGGGTGTCTGAGTAATAAGGCAGTGGAGCTGGGCCAGGAGATGAGGCCAAAGCACTGGTAAAACCACAGGGGAAACGATACTGTTAACAACTCCCGTTCTCCAGGCTTTTAGAAGTCTAAACTGAACTTGCCATCTTTGATGTAAATATAAATGAAATAATTTGATTTTTAACTCTGTAAGGCTGAGGCAGGAAAATTGAGCCTGTGCTCGGAGAGACCTTGTCACAAAATAAAAAATAAAAAGGATGAAGATGTAACTCAGTGCGAAGATCATGAGCTCATTCCCCAAGCATCTGACTTAATCTAGAAGCTACTGGTATCCATAGCTGTGTAATATTTTTGTCTAAAGGATCGATGTTATGTTTTGAAGGATCAAAAAGCTTTGTCCCTGAAGTGTGAGACTTAAGTCTTTGTTATGGGATGTGACACTGAGCTTGTAAACTTCTAAGAGCCACTGTTGTCTCAGTTGTAAAGTGGGGACAGTGCCTTTGTCAAAGCGCTGATGACAAAACCAAGCACAGCTATACATACCTTCTGCCTGGTATCAATGCTCTGTAGCTTTCACTAACCCTGTCCAAATTGAAGGTACTGTCTGGGGATGGCAGTCAGAGATCTCCTGACTGCTGAAAATAGTTGTTTACCTGCCACCCTTTATTTTAATGATTCTGTAGGGAAGTAGTCATCTCATCACTAGTGAGACACAGGACAGACATATAGACTAATCCTCCCACCCTCCAAATGATTATTGAGCTTCCAAATTTATTATAGATTTTTTTTCAGTTATGAAGATTAAACCTAGGACCCCACAATGGTAGGAAAGCATTATCCTACTATACTGAGTTATATCCCCAGTCCTTTTTATTTTGAGACAAGATCTCTCTAAATTGCTCGGGCTGCGTTTGAATGTTGGACCTTCTGCCTCATTCTCCTGTGTAGCTGGGATTAGAGGTATATACAACCATGCTGGCTTATTATCATTTTTTTTTTTTTTTTGTACCAGGGATTGAACTCATGACTTCTCACTTGTCAGATAGGCACTGGGCTGCTGAGCTATATCCCCAGCTACTATCAATTTCTTTAAAGCAAAAATATTTTCCAAAACTAGACAAAATTGGTCTAATTCTTACAAACTGAAATAACCACAAGTCTGTATGACTCTGAGAAGACCGTGACCATCACGGAGGAATCACTTGCACACCACCACTGGGAAACTTGGCCCAGTGAAGTTTGTACTTCCCTATCTTCTGTCTCCTTCCTCCGTTTTTCCACTTTTCTAGGCTCACTCCCATCATCCCCTCATTCTCCCTATTGAATATTAACGATTTCCACCAAGTATCCAGTGAATTTCCTGGGCTCAAGACTCTGAAAGGAAGAACCTATTATTTGGCAGGGTTAGGGAGGTGAAAGGCTATCAGGACTTTGTGTCTGCTATGGCCCTCAGTTGAACCCAAATATGCCTGTACAATTATGACACCATATCTCCATTGGCATAATTCTGCACAAAAAAGAATCTAAATGAAACTAAATTCTAATCAGTCAGAATGATAACAAAACTATCTTAGATAGTACATTGATACCTATGCATATTAAATCAAAAGATTGGCACGTATGCTTCTTGATTTAGGACAACCAGATTAATGGATTTGAGAGATTGTTAAAAACGCTCAATTTACTCTCTTCCAAAACTAAAATGACTGGTTTCATGTAAAGAAAACAGAGACATTCTGATGGGACATTCCTAATCTGAGAGCCTCTAGCACAGTTGTGCATGGAAAGCAATCCTGTCTTAAGCGTTTGTCCTCCTCTAAGATCTCCAAGTTTCCCAAGGGACTTGGGATGATGGCTGTCATCAGGAGTCGATGGTGAGTTGGAAATGAATTTGCAGACACAGGGTTCCTGAGAGAGCAAGTCTGCGGTGCTGTGGAATGGGCAACACCTCCCTTGGAGCTCTCTGGTTACTTGTGCGCTCTGAGAACACACCCTGCCGAGTGCATTCATCACAATAGCCCATGTGTGACCTTAGGAAAAGTCCTTGAAAACACTGAAACAAGAGTCTCAGTTGAAATCTGGAATCCATTCCAGTCTTACACAGGAAGAAAATTAGGCATAGAACAACAAAGCCCATAGTTCAGAGAAACCTGGGGAGGCTCTGGCTGACATTAAAATCATGGAAGGTTTCTTTCTTTCTTTTTTTAAAAACTACTTAGAATTTTATAAAAACTTTTCATCTAAGCAGCCCCAAGAGCTGCTCAAAATTCTGTATGGCTAGTATGTGGCAATAGCTGGTTTCTCCAGTAAAGAAAGCAAGCAGAATAAGAGATGCTGAGTGACACTGAAATTCACCTAGCACTTTTCCAAGCTTCTAAGTAAATGCTGTTTTTCCAAACCTAAGTGGCCAATACTACTATTTCCCCCTTTGGATCAATATATTGGCAATAACGGGGAGCAGGAGTAGAAGCTGGGGAATAGGTGTGCTCCCTGAGCCCCCAACTCCATGATCAATTTCATTAGCCCAGAAACCACGGGCCTGGAAATACTCACTCAGAGCACAAAGCAGCAGAGTGGTGTGCTTGCTCGGTGAATTTCACTCGGCAAACATTTGTGGGTGACACTATTTTTATAAGTATAGCTCAATTCCCTATTGCTATTAGCTCACATTATTCAGGATTAATTTGCCATATCCATATTGTAGGATTTGTTTCATACACGTAAATAATTATAAACCTGCACTACCTTTGGAAGCATGTTTGTTCTTTGCCAACAAGGAAAAAAAGTCAGGATATTTCTGAGTCAAGTGGTGGCACAAAATCCAGAGAAAATCAACTGGCAGAGAAATTTGGTTTGGAATTACATTTTAGAATCCCTCTAAAGTTTATCTGGAAGGTCCCCTTTCAAAAGGAGAATAGGCCTGAGGCAAATAAGCTTCAGGAATCATCCAGCTGGGGCTTAACATCACAGATCCAGACCCCAAACGCTGATTCTCCGTGCATAAGAAATTTAATTTTGTTTTTTCTTAAGTACCTTCACAGTTCATTTTTTATTTTTCCTTAAAAAAAAAAAAAAAAAAAGGTAAATGGCATTACTTTGGTCTCCAAAACAGATGCCAGTTAGAACTTTATTCTGCCAGCAATTTATTTGGTTTGGCTCCATACGGCTTAAGTTGAAAAAATATTTGCCGATTCCAAAAAGATTTAACGAGCCCCGCTGTGGCGGCTGGTGCCATTTGGCACATCACAGAGCTGTGGCACAGCAAAGAGAGCTCTCCTGACCACAGATTTTATTTGCCCAAAGTAGCCAACACTGGTGTTCAGTCAGTTCCTTGGGTCAAGAAGCTGCCCATCAAATGAGTAAAGTTTCCAAGAGAAAGTGACCAAGCCAGGCATCATAAAAACCCCTTGCTGACATTGAAAAGGAAGTTTCTAGGTCCTGCTCCATCCCTGCACAGGAATTGGTGGCTGACCTTCAGAGCTGTCATAAGTAACTTTACACCAAGAGCCCCTAACCCGTCAGTCAGCATGCAGGCCAGATAAGCCTCCGACTTCTAGCAAACACCATCTTATTAAATATCAGATACAAAAACTTTGCAAAGTATATTTTGTAGTCATTTGATTCTTTACTAATTGTACTATCTGAATTTCACTATCTAAAAATTGAATAATCTCTTTTAAATTCTCAGGTCAAGCTGCTGCTAAATAGTACAAGCAAGTTTATATTCCAGTGGCAGACATGCATGGCTTTTAAGACTATTTAGAAGAATTCAGATGCATAAATTTTTCACTGACATTGGAAAGACTGATCTCACGGCACACAAATATCACATGTTAAGAATCCCTGAAAGTTGTCATCTGAAGCCATGTTTTTCAGTGTAGGCTGCAAGAAAATCAAGTTGTCATCCTTTCAAATCAACATCACATCTGACAACTACAACAAAAATGCAAAGCATTTCCATAATAATGTGCACTTAGGAATCAGAGGTTTGTTTTCATAACATGGGAACAGGAAGACTGGCATTGATATTATAACTATTTTGATGAAGGTGTTGGAACTCTGGATTATTTTTGTTATTTCACATGGTAGGCAAACGTACTTGAGCATATCTTACCCTAACGCCTATGGATCTCCCAAAACTTCTAAATGTCGCTTTCTTTAACATCACATGTCAACCCAATGCTTGGAACATGTTTATCTGATGCCAAGTGCTTACAACAAATATCCTCAAAAGAGAGAGATATCCTCAAATATCCCTGAACTGCCTTTTTAGAGAAAGATCTATTCACCAAAACAAAGACAGAACCCTTCCGGCTGGCTTAGCTGATATTGTTGAGTCAGGGTAGAAATCAAAAGAAAAATTATGAAATAGTAAATGGATGATAGCTGTTATTTACCATTTTGGCTTCTGAATGCATTGGCTGGACTTGAGGAGAAGCGCAGGGGTTACTGAGATTTGGACCTTGCATCCCCATGATGCTGGAGTTCACTGACATTTGTCTCTCCATCTAAGAGAAAAGAAAGCAACAGAATTAGAAATCTGAGACAGGTAATCAGGGTCACAGACAAAGGTGCACTTCCCCTCCAAATGATCCTTTAAGATTTCTTTGAAGAACTATTGAGAAAACTGGAGGTTTAGGATAAATTCAGTAAAGTACTCCTGAGCCTTGAACCCAAGCCCATCAAAGAATCATCCAAAGCTAAGCCTTTTATAAAAGATTTCTTATGCCCAACACAACTGTTGTCCTGATAGATCATTTTCCAACAAAATTACTGAGTCTTTCCGCTTAAGCACACATTCCACCCATCACTAACCACGCCTTTTTTATAGTTGTAAGAAACAATACATGCATAGAAAAAGTAAATGCGCATATAATGTACAAAATAGTTATCTCAGGTTATTTTTGGCATTTTTTCCCTCCCTAAATTGAATGCAGCAAACAGGAATCTTTCAGCACTAAGAAAAACATAAACTTAATTTTAAAATGATATTCTCCAATATGGTGGGTCTTCCTCTTCCAGCTCATCAACATATCCAAATTACCCAGCCCAGGTATTTGAACTGCTTTCCTGAAGCCATTTCCTCCTTCTTCCTAACCTGATCAAGACTCTGCAAACCACAGTCTCAGGCCTCACCGCTTAGCTGGGTCTTTGGGTAGGTGAAAGAGAACTGCCCTGGGCTTTAGATAATGCATGGACAATGCTGATACATTATCCTCCTCTGGCCTCTTTCCATCTAGAATTAACACCACTCAGATACTTTTTTTGTCTTGTGCTCCTATTAAGAAGTAAAGGTTGGGGGCCTCTTATCTGACATGCTTAGAATGGCAAGTATTATTTTGTTTTCAAATTATCTGCATATAGATAAATGAGATGTCCTCAGATAGAATCAAAATCTAAACAGGAAAGCATATTTTGTGGTTTTATATTTCATAAACATCTCCTGTGCATAGCCTGAAGGTAATTTTATAGAATATTTTTAGTGCTTCTGCATTCTGAATGTCATCTATCACGTCACATCAGATATGCAACTTCTCACTTGTGCCATCGTGTTGGGAAAAGGTTTCAGATTTTGGGTTTAAGGATGTTCAATTTGTATAGCAAATTTTCCAGTTCAGCCCAGAGAGGATATATCTGGTTAATAGTGTTTACTGTTACTAGAAAATTAATACTTTTCATAGAATAAGCTAAATCAAGTATACTTAATGCAAGAAAATAAAACCTTGTATTTTCTTTAGGGAGAAATAGTTTGTTAATACAAATATGTTTGCATTTACCAAAAGATAAACATGAAAAGGATGATTGGAAATTTGGGAGAAACCAGGTATTTGTCCTAAGTCAGCCTAGGTTCTCCTAGAAATTCTGAGAAATTTCTGATCAGTTTCAAATCATGTGAGATGGAAAGTGTGGAAAAGAGAGAAGCTTGAAAGTGATTATTTAACTAAATGACTAAAAATTCCTTACATTGTTGAAATTCTATGATTGTGATTCCACTTGTGTCTACCCTGGGCCAGTTCAGTTAGGACCCTAATCTGTGAATTAGCATAGCTGTGGACTAAAAGTTTTCACCTAATTGACTGGAGTCACTCAGCCTTGGCCTTAGCATGAATTAGCTGATCAGTTATCTGGCAAGGTATGAATATCACACATTGGGTCAAAAAGAGCTCACCAAGGCAGATTTTCTAAATATTCCAGAGCACCTCAGCAAAACTTTTTGAGGTCTTACCAATTCAGCAAAACACAACATTCACTCCTACGTACCCCCTAAATCTCCCGGCAGCCTAGATACATTTAATTTTTGAAATCATTGTTTTAATTAAAGTAAAATACATTCAACATAAAATTTACCATTTTAAATACCATTAAGTACATTAAATTCAGTGCCGTTAAGTTCATTCACGTACCGTAATTGTTAAGTCATGAAAATTTCAACAGTTCCATTGCTCTAAAAAATGCATATCAGTTATAACTCCCACTCATAGAGGTAGCGGGTAGGAAAGTCAGAATAGCATTTGCCTACTTATTCCAATAGATGACCCTTTTAAAGAGAGAAATCCAAGTGTGAATGAACTTTTGCCTTCAGTTTTCCTAAGAAGGCTCTTTCAAAAGTATGAGTAATTGTCCAGAGTCTTCCATGCTACTAGCTATACAAAGAGATGAGAATAGCCTGCTGTGGTTTCTAGATAGAGTCAACAATCCATTTTTTTGGAAAAGTTTTCATCTATGATTGTTTCTCCTGCATGACTCACAGAGTACTACATCGAAACAAGCTGATTTTTCTATCTGTTACAAAAATGAGGGCTGGGGTATAGCTCCATGATAGAGTCTTGTCTTGTATATTCATGGTCCTGAATTTGATTTCCGGCACCAAGAAAACAAACAAAAATTGCGTTTTACATTTTGTGAATTATTGTTGTACAAACACAAAGTGTCAGGAGGGCCTTTCCAAAGAAAAGAATTAGTGCTTTTTGTTAACAAGCCTTGGTCTGCACCAGAAGCTGGGCTTTAATCAGCTGAGTGGAGTTGCCTTTGTTGAATGCCCAGCGTTACAGGTAAAATGCCCAGGCAGGGTGGTATGGCTCAGTGACAGAGTGCTTCTCCAGAGTGCTGAGGCCCTGCATGTGATTCACAGCAACACACACACACAAGCAAAAACAGATAAAGAACCTCTTTCTTTTTCACACACTGAAAACAAGAGCTAGACTGCCCACAGGTTGCGGCACATTTGTAAACAGGCATAAATGGGTGTTCATATTTCTAAATGATTAGTTTGACTTTCAAGATGAGCAATCACAACCCACAGAAGTATTTGTTCTTCTTTTGTCCTTTTCTTCCTACATTCTCAGAATCTAACAGAGTACCCTAGCATCACAGAAGTTTTAGAACAAATGAATGAATGAATGAGTAAATATACCATTTTGTTTTAGACCAAGGCATTGTGAAATGTGTGGGGTGACCACATACATTACAAATCAGTTAAGAATCTCACCTTCACCTGAAGACACACTTCTAACTTTTAACATTAGGATTTATGGTTCCAGGGCAGGAACTCTAGGGAAAAGCTACCCCAGACCAACCTTGAAGACCAAAGTTGAATACGAAACTAACAAAGAAAACCCCTGAATTTCCAAGGCCTGAAACCCTTAGGATATACTTAGAGATCCTGTATTAATTATCATTAGTAACATTAGCAGCACTCTAGACCAAAGCGTCTCAGACTCACTACTTTGGTGATTTGGGGTCAAATAATCACTTATGGGGCTGTTTTGAGTACAAAGAGCCATTTAACAGCATTCCTGGCCACTGCCCACTAACATTAGTACTCCCATTCCACTCCAGATGTGACAACCAATAGTGTGTCCAGATATTACCAAATAGTTTCTGGGGAACAGAATTGCCCCCAGTTGAGAATTACTGCTCTAGGCTGACACCTACTGTCATGGCAGCTATACACATCACAGATATGAGCTGGGAAACTTCTGCAGCGTTAGACTATACTGGCTCTTTCCCATGCACTATAATCTCTGCTTCTATCCTGAAGTATCAACAAGAGGTCAAGTTCTAGGAAGAGATAACATGGAGCCCAGGGCCAGACACCTTTTCTCTAAGCCCTTTCATCTCAAGGGAAGGGTTCTACCTTTGCCCCTGGGAACTGTATCTGGTTTAACTAAACATACATGCATGTATGTGTGCATACATACATGCATATATACATACATTAAATTCTCTATAGCAGCACTTTTGTGGATAAGGAGTAGAAGTTCTGAAAGGAACCTAATACAGTACTAGATAAGAGGGATTTAGAATCCAAATAAAGACGGCTCATGTTGGAAATCCCTGACCAACTGATTCAACTGAACAAAACCTGGGAGATTTGCACTGATGATGCTGTTTTCCTTCATCTGCCAAGGGGTACTGGGGGTAAAATCCATCAGCTTGATCTATCTATCCTCTAGCTCAAGGTTGCAAAGATTGTTTCCAACTTGGATCCCCCAGTCTTTGTAGTGGGCGGGTCCTTCTCTCCAAACTGAGGTCACTGAGCCCTTCTCCATTCCATAGCGTACCCTTAGAAGATGAACAAACCACACAACCAGGGATGATCTAAGTCACTCAACATGAGTTGAGATGCGGGTTTCAGTCACAACTCTTCATTCATGAACCATTGACATTAGACACTCCCTGTTACTTCTTACCTTTCAGATTTTGATCTGTAGTATGGATATTCATAATCATTGCAATCTTATCCCCATAAAATTGCTGGGGAAATGAGATGGCATAACAATGTTGACAACTCTTTAATATGTTAAAATGCTCTGTGAGCCCTCATTAATCTCTTATGAGAAGATATTAACCTAGCTGTTGCACCATATCTGGGGATTTTGAGATCTCCTGTAGCCCTGTGAATCAGAATGCCAGTCTTGTTCCCCAAAGTACAATGCCAAGGAGGATGAGGACAGACAGGGAGGAGGCTGCATAGAAAGAGAGAAAGATCTCCTCTGCAGTGGTGTGAATCTCTCTTCTGGATTTAGCTATCATTCTGGAGGGGAGCAGTATTGTGATTACAAGTGGAAATGCAGTAGTCAGACTACCTGGATTTAAACCTCTACCCATCACCTAAAGCTATGTGACCTTCATCAAAGTACTCAGCCCCTCTGTGCTTTCACTCTTCATCCATAAAACCATTTTAACAGTGCCTTCCCCATTGGAAAAGTGAAGGACTGAATGGACATATACTTTAGAAGTGAAAGAATGGGCTTTGCAGCCAGAACTTCTGGCTTCAAAACTTGTTGCTGTGCTTCAGCTGAGCAAATTGGTTGCTTTACTTTCTCATTCAAAAAAGGGGAGTAGTAATAGAACTACATAGAATCATTTTTTATGTATTGACAAAGTGCTTAGAAAGTGACCAGCACACAATAAATATGCAATAAACGCAGCTAGCATGATTTACAGAACATTATTTGCATAAATACATATTAATAGCTATTATATATGATCAATATTATTGTTATTATAATTATCACTCTGAATACTGGCTAGATCATTGGCAGTTTATGGACAATGGATATAAGTCAAACCGGACTTTGGAGTGCAGTCATCCCTTGTAACTGAAAGGGTTCTAGAACACTCCTCCTTTCCATTTATAACAAATGCTGTGCGTGTTCAAATTCAATGCATAAAAGGGCATAGTATTTGAGTAGAACCTATACATATCCTCCCATATATTTACTCATCTCTAGATTATTTATAATAGATTATTTGCAATGCAAATTCTATGTAGATAGTTGTTACATTGTGTTGTTTAAGAAATAATAACAAGGGGAAAAAAGAATCTGTACATGTTTAGTACAGGTGCAATAAAAAAAAAAATACTTTCCATCCACAGTTGGTTGAACTGCAGATGTAGAACCCCCAGACAGAGAGGGATAACTATAGTTAGAAAACATCGTCTCTTTGAGCAAATTCTACTCCATGGGAGTTGCAGGTTCACTGGTCATTAGCAGGGAGGTGGATCCTGTTTCCTAGCAAAGTGCCAAAGGACAGCAGAGCCAGCAAAATGCCTGGGGATGAGTGGCTGTGCCTTTGAGGCAAAGAGACACACAGCTTGGGCTCTTCACTCAGAAGCTGCAGCCTGCTTCCCAGCCAGGTTAGATCACAGCTTCTCCTTCCTTCTTTCAGGAGCCCCAAGCCTCTGCACTTGGGAGAGGCTTCAATGGGACTCACACAATCTCTTACCGGCATCAAGACAGCAGAAGATCCAGGCATGGTTGGGTTGGGCAGGGTTCCGGGCATGGAGGCTGGCATGGGCTGTCTCTGTCTGTTGTGGAGATGTAGCAGAGAAGAGAGAGAGCCTGGGACAGGCCTGGGAACAAAGGAAAAACACCAGACATTACTTCTGATGCCCTGGGCCTGTTCACCAAGATCCAGAACCAGTGGGGACACCCATACCCACATCATATGGGCAGCAGATCAGAGCCAATGATGGGAGAGCCACATAATTGAGGATATTAGGGAAATAATAACAAATAAAATACAAGCCTGATTTCCTTTGCTGCTTCCTAGTAAATACATCAAATTCCACTTCATTTCCTGAGCCCTGTTATTTCACCGATGTTCAACAGAGACAAGCTGTGAAATGTCCCACAGTCCTGTTCCAAGGAAAGGGCCAGGGAGGTGGAATCCTGGGTCCACTGAGAATCTCAGTCTTTAAAGTATCTTAGCGCCGGAGGGACTAGTACATATGTTTTACCCACATTGTCCCTCACCTCTCTGCCTGGAAGCCCACCTAGCTTCTCTCTGGATGTATCTTCACCTTCTGCGTTTGCAAAGCAAACTCCATTCATGAATGTCTAGCAGAAACCCATTTTGAATTTTTTACAGTTCTCCACTGTGAGTACAAGAATCCAAAGTCAGGCCACAAAGTCAAGCAGCCAGACTGCAAATCACGGTACTCAGGACAGCCTTTCTGGGGGTGAATCCAGAGCCCAGCCCAATCTCTCATTTCATGTAACTCGAGGTGTCAGGCTGTTTGACAAAAACTGATTTGGGCCTGACCTGCTGGACGTGGGTAAGCATTCCTCAGGGGAGTACATGGTTGGAGCTGCAGCTTCTACTTAAATAAATAAATAAAGGCCTTAAATTGATTTAATGAGCCAGGGAATGTGGAACTGAGGGGCAAAGGAAATTATTTGTGTTTATTAAAAATGGCAAACAAGTGACCTCCCCTGCTAATTCTCAATCTCCTGATGTTTTTGCTCTGGGGAGCTATATAAATGTTAAACCATTAAATTAAAGGTTTAACAACAAACAAAACAAGGCAAACAAAGACCTCTTGCAACCTCGGAGTCTTCCATGGGTGTTGTGTGATGAACTTGCACTTCTAGAATTAATTCATTTTCTAAAGAAAAACAGGAGATTCTCCTCATGCTAAAGAACTGGATAAGGCTGCCGCCATGTATGTTGACTTTCCTCTGCTCCAGGGAACCACAGCCCTGTGTGCAGCCCCAGCACAGGGGGGCAAGGAATTGCTTCTCTGGGGCCCCTTTCTGGGGGACTCACAGAGAAGCAGGGACTGAGATGATAGAAAGGCTAACATGTTCTTCCTTCACCTCGCTGTTAAAATTCCAGAAAAGATTAAGTTTTCCACTCTTTTTTGCCTGAAGCTCTTTTGGAAATACAGTTAACTATCACAGTTACACACATCCTACAAGGATTAGTCATAAATTAGTCAAGATTTATATGCTTAGGGAAGTGTATATGTGAAAATATGAAAGACTACGAAGCCATTCCATAGAGGTTATGTCAATGCATACAAATTACACCCGGTTTTATTAATAGAATGTGTGTGGAAGTGAAAGTAAAGTAGCTTATATCAATGAAATGAGTGTTTCCCAATCAGCAAGTGAAGTGTCAAGAATATTCCTTGACATGCGCCCTTGGGATCACGGGAGTGTGGACTGACAATAAGGACCAGCAGCTTTCACAGTTTGAGGAGACTTCTGGTTCTAATTGCTTCAAAGTATTACAGTAGATTGTGACCACAGGGTCTTAAAATCCGTCTCCCTCAGAGGTAATAATACGTGTCAGATATGTATAGAGTGGCAATGTTTGCTTTACATTCTCCAGTCTTAACATTCTGTTTGCGAACTCTAGTGAGAGGACAACATTTGTATATCAAAGTGTATAATGTTTATTAACAGTGATTCCCTCCAGGTTCAGGATTATCAGAGCTCCTTTGTTTGATCATGAGCAAGATTCTTGAACTTACTTTCTATAAGGCTTATCACCCATCTGTCCATCTAAGTAGATATCCATATGTACATCTACTCATACACATATACACATACCTAACATTTCAACATACATCTGTCACTAGAAGGAAAGCTTCAATTATAGACAAGAACAGACAAAGCCTTGTTACAGGAAAGAAAACTAAAAGCATTTCTTTTAGGATGTCGATTTTGTGATAGCCTCATGAACAGTGGGTAACATACTAGCATCATTTTACATTCTGTTTCTAATCTGACACATTCAAAATTATTTTGGTCATTAGTTGTTATTGATGTATTCTTTTTAAAAAAAGAAATCAATTAGACAACTCAATGATGATGGGAATAGAAATGTAAAACTAATTAACTTCAGAATGAGTTTTCATTCTTCCCCAAACAACAGAAACTCTCAGTTGTATAGAATAATTGGGGAGTGGAATGTTTCACTGAATTTAATGTTCTGAGTAAGTTGGGTATTTCCACCTCAATGGAAGATCTACTAAGTTTTACAAAATCAAGTATTTTCTCATTAGTTAAGAAAGATTTTCAGGGTACTGTCTTTTCTTCTCTTCTAATTATGGTTTCTTATGCAATAAGACCAATCAGCAACATATATGTGGAAGGAGAGCTGGTTGTTATTTTTGTATTTGTATTTATTTATGTATTTATTTATTTATTTTCTACCAGGAATCAAACTCACAACCTTGCATTTGCCAGGCAGGCGCTTATGTCACTGAGCTAAATCTGCAACTCAAGAAACTGATTATTTCAGATGCCTGTATTTTTAGATTCTGCATAATTCTGGGGTTCTTGTTTTTTCACATATTCTGCACATTATTTCCCCAACCCACACCTACAAAACTGACAGAATTTTCAAAGTTTCTTGTTTGAAGTTTTAAAACTATAAAAATTGAAAGAAAAAAGAAACCTTTATATCATCACTATATGTATAAAGAACCAGGACTGGCGGTGTATCACTCAGTGGTAGAGGACTTGCCTCCCATGTGTGAGGCCCCAGAGTTCAATGACAACACTGTAAAAAACATTTTAAAAATAAACAAATAAACAACAGACTGAGGCTTTATTTATACATTGAGAGCCATAGCAACAATCACCTCCAGAATATTCATACTATTAAGACAAGAGTGGCACTAGAATAATTGCATTGTCTAATTCCTTTTGTGTATATAGAACTGAAATAAACATTATCTAACATAGTATGCACAAACTTGCATAAAACTTTTTATACCGCACCTGAATATTGCTTTATATTTTTTCAAAGCGTTTTCACAACCCTAATTTTAAGGGATTTGGAACAAGGCAATGTGGTAGGTAAGTCATATTATTCCCAATTTACTCAGGAGTAAACTGAACTGACATACATTTATATTTGCCCAAGGTCACATGGGTCATGAAAGGGAGCAGGGCTCTTACCCAGTTTGTAAAACAGAGCTTCCCCCATCACACCTTGACGGTCCCGTAACTAAATTACTATTGACTTTTTATGCTAAAATACATTCATGGTCCATTTCTTTTGATATTCACACTGCTCCCTGGATTTTCCATGAAGCAGTAAAATAGTGGAATACGGCTAACATAAGAAATCACTCATGTCAACTCTTATTTTCTTTCTTAAAAATGTAAACAAACAAAAACCGTCCCACACAAGACATTGATTAGATTTTGAAAATAAGATTGCAAAATAGCAATAAAGTTGTGAAAACAAAGACCCAACAGTCTTTCCTCTAGTGCAGGCTTGTTGCCATGAGCTAATAATTCCAGACTTTGAGCAAGCCGTGCCTCCTTGTTAATAACCATATGCCTTTAGGTAAAGTATTTCTACTAAAAATTATTGAGGCATGGAACAAGGTAAGATGTGTGAGCTCATGTTGGATTGTTCAATTACTAAACCGAGTCCTACAGCATTAAGAGTTTTCCAACTTGACAGATTATTCCTCTTTATACACTTGTATAAACATACTGCTTACGGCTGAAATCTATGTAAGCTTTTCTTTCAATTAAAATGTCAAGCATGACAGACTGTGTTTTCACTGTCCCTAGCAGAACGATAGGTACCACAGCAAGCAATTTCATGTCCTCATCCCCTCCTCCAAGGATGTTTTCATGTCTGGGGGTGTCTGAAAACCAGGATTGCGTCTGTCAGTCTTCCTTGGCCCCAGAAAGCTACTATCTCTAAGGAGCTAGGGGCCAATGCCTGTGCATTTGGGGGGTCTGAGACAGAACTCTCTAGACTGCTCTCCTTTCCCATGTCTTCAAAAACTGTGGTACCCGGGGCTGTTTAATCAGATCTGCCGGCCATGTGGTCACCCAAAGGAAAGGGCAAATGATGAGAAACATTAGCTCAGAAAATTGGAAGATTAATGTAAGCATGGAAGCAGGCCGTAGACATTGAAGCAATCTCAAGAAGATAAAGAAATAATCTAAGCACTTGGGGGAAGGCAGGATTTTTGTAAAGCTTCAGGGAAAAAAAATAGAATTCTGGGCAAGAAGTAGGAGATTCAGCCACTTGGGTGCCATGTTACAAGGGATTTTGGGGGGTTGTGGGCTCTCCATTTCCTGTGTCTAATGGTCAGACAGACTCTTGGCTTCTCAAAATCCCCCGAGATCTAAAATTCAGATTTGCTAGGGATATAGCTCAATGGCATAAGCACCCTCCTGGCAAGTACAAGGTCCTGAGTTCGATGTCCAGTACAAATATATATGTATAAACAAATAAAGATAAATAAATAAAATTCAGATTCTTTCTAATGTGAAATGCTTATCTAGTCATTCTCCTATCAAATGAAATTTGAAAATTCCCATATTTTGTAAAGAAATCAAAATTTCAGCATAGTCAATCAAATGAGAAATGGAAAGATAATATATTAATTTCTTCCACCAGATAATAATTCAGTTTTGAAATAGGTCATAAAAAACAGGGGCTCAAGATCAAAACTGCTGAGGTTGGAGTCCAAGCTCTGCCATGGACTAGCTATGTGCTCTCGGGCCAGTTACTTCTGCTTCCTAAATTGTAAAATGAGGGTGACAGTTAAATTTACTTCATAGCACTAAATGAGTCACTACATGTTAAATA